TATATGATATTCCTTGTATTCTCTCTTCTTTAACTAGACTATAAAATTATACAGCTGAGGCACTATGTCTTACTTATCCCTATTGCTCCCAAGATTAGCACAGAACCTAACCTATACTAAAGTTCTACTATAAGGGAATTTAATAGATCAGCACATTGTAGTTCCTGTGAGATTCATTTGATGTATGATTTTCACCTCATCTTTGTAGGCAAGGCAAGGAATTCACTAGTGCATTTGTGCTGTTTTCTTCTATGATATGAAAGGAAATATTTACCTTGTTTTGTTATTTCCAGAGTATTTTGTTTTCCGATAAGGTCCATGATTTTTAAATGTAGCGATTGTTTTGATTTTTCATAATGCGAAATACATTACTTTTGAGACAACTGAGTTTTGAAGATTTTTCCAGAGTCAGTGAGTGAACACTTCAAATCTTAGTGTTATGCTTGAAAAGATAAAATTATTCCTGGTGCCAAACTTTAAAAAACAAAATCACTCCCAAATCTCACAAAGATAGTTAAAATGGAAAACATCTTATAATCAAATTGTTTATATCACCTCTGTTACACTTTTCCTGTTCTATAAACACAGTGGAGATAAAAAGGATTCCTGATGATTTTTTTCATATTTTTAATGTGTGTATGTATCTTAATGTCTTTTTACTTTAGTGAACATTTGAAACTGTTCAATTTTATTGATAACAAGAAAAATGCGTTGCGTATTTGTTTTTCCTTCATGATAGAGAGTGTAATGAATGGTGTGAGTTAGTTTTTTCTGACCTTCTGTCTGTATTTAGTGAACAAATGTGGAAATGATAGTGTGGTGAGTCAAATCTTTAGTCTGAAGTTTCCATTTTCACAAGAAATAGCCTTTAATACAGAGAAAGGGAAATGTTTGCTCAAATTCAGTGAATTACATGTTTCAGAGGACCTGAGTCTTTTATTCTTTCATCTCTTCTCTAATCACTGACCATAGACCTAAAGCTAGTACTGGGAGAATTCCTTCTTTTTTTTTTTTTTTAAATCAAGCAGCTATATTTCTTGGTGCACAGTGTGTATTTGCAAATATTTATCCCTATCCCATTTTTCATACCAGGAACACCCTTTCCTAGCACCCTTATTAAGAAAATTTCTTTAACATATTTTTAGAAAAGACTTCTTTTTCTATTCTATGCCTCACTTTTCTCTTGACGTGTTTTATTGACTGGAGTCACCTAGCCAATATGAAGTGTGAGAACTGTAGCAGGCATTTTTGTCCTGTGGCTTCTTTAGTGCTAAAATGATACCAATAAGCATGAGATTTCTGACAGATTTCATTGTAAGGTAATAAAGACTTGCATTCTCTTCTTAGCGGGCCTACTTTTTTTTTTTTTTTTTAAAGATCTTGGGTACAGGTCAGAGGTGTGCTGGGGTAAGAGGATTCACCAGAGACAGAGCGGGGAGCAGAACAGGCAGATCGACGAAGTACACTGCTGAGGGGAGCAGCGGGTGGGTCAGGAGAGGTCTGCCAGGCGCCATGTGGTCTCCTCCAGGGCAGGCGGGGATGGAACTCATGTGGAAATGGCTTAAGCTTCTCAGTGCTGCGCTTTAACCCGATGCGCCACCAGGGAGGGCCTAATACACCTTTTTGATGTCAAGCTTACCCACTGCTTTCTTTCTGCCTTGCTCAGAGGTTGTTTTCTTCCCTGTTACTTGAGTGTTACCCTGACAGCTCTGAACTCTGAGGTCAGTAAAGCCTCTACCTCCACGCCTTCTGCCTTTTTCTGTTTCTGCCTTTTTCTGACACACAAAAGTAATTGTTTTGCCTTGTTATTATTATTATTACTATTTTAGAAATACATTATTGTAACACAAATAAAACTCCCTACTAAATTTCTTGGCAACAAAAATGAAATAAAATTTAGCCACCACAAGCAAATTTAGGGATACAGAACAAGAGCCAAAGAAATTGAATGAAAAATAAACCCCTAAGAATCTTTGACACACAAATTTGGCTCATAAACCAGGAGTGTATGCAGTAGATCTGCCATTTTCATGTAAAAATGAAAGCAGGATGGCACAAAACATGCAGGAAATAAATCTACCAAACCTATTACTCAGATACTTGTCAGCAATCTGCTTTCCAGGTCACAACCTTAAATTCCTTTTTCACCCCAGCAATGCAATTAAGACTCTTGTTGGAGACAGTCTCCTACCATTGCCTTGGGCAACTACATAGGAGTTTGAAGTTGAGCTGTCTGCCCAGGACTTTGGTTTGCTTTTTTTTTTCTTTTAAAAATTTATTTATTTATGCAGACAGGCCAGAGGTGCAGGGGTGGTGAGAGGCTTCACCATAGATAGAGTGGGGAGCAAAACAGGCAAATCTATGAAGTTCACTGCTGAGGGGAGCAGCGGGCGAGACAGGAGAGGTCTGCTGTGCCATGTGGGTTAGCTCCAGGTCGGGGCTCGAACTTGAACAAAAGCAGCTGCCCCTAGCTTGCAGAGCTGTGTCTTAACCTGTTGCACCACCAGGGAGGGCCCCTTGGTTTGCTTTTAAATAGAATTTTGCTTTCACTTTATTTACTTATTTGTTTTTAAGTTAATCTATTTAAATTGAGCTGGTCTACTGGAACAGCTATCTCCTATAAGATACAGCACTTTAGCCACCCACAGCCACCCTGGTTTATGGACTCAGTGAAACACCTACTCACAGCATGATGGTGCCATCAGCACTTAACAGACACGTTCCTAATTTTGTTACATGGGTGGTTGGTGAAGAGGTTCACAGTGCTTTTCAAGGAATGAAATCCAACAAAAAACTGGTCACACAAACCCTAAAAGTTTACTGATCTTAACTCATGACATTTTCATATTACTTCAATCCTGACGTTGGAAACAGAAAGATTTCTTTAAAATTATTTTGTTCCAGCACTAAACTCAGCAGCACATGCATTTAAGGAAAGAATTTTTTGTTGTTTCTTCAGGTAGGTCCTTTTCAATCCCCTAGCTTTGCATTTCAACCTGTCCAAAAAGTCCCTTATTAAAGTTTGTAATTGTATTATTCCAACAGCCCTTATTCATTTGTGGAAGACATAGGAGAATTACTTATTTTATATGCAAGCACTACAGATTTCAAGACATTTGGGTTCATCTAAACCAACTACGTTCTAGTTTAAAGTATGTTCTGGGGACAATTAAGTAAAGTACCACACATATAATTAAATTTACGAAAGTTGTATTTCCTGCATACATTTGGAAACACATTAGAACCAGTGTCGTTTTCTTGTTTAGAAAAATAAAGGTAATGAAAACTGTTTATTTCTGTTTGCAGATTAATTCATAGATTATATTTAGCCTGGATGTTAAGAGATTACATCAATGCATCAATTTTACAATGACAATTAAATTTCATGTCTCAACCAGTAATTTATTTTTTTGAGTTGAGATATTAAAAATTTGAGCAATTTTAAAATTCAGTCCAAGAATAAAATTGTCTATGATATTGTATCCTGTTATGAAGCTTTTACTGCTTTTTAAAGACTGTACAGGAATCATGTATTGTCACTGTATTTTTTCAGTAACTATGTTATTTATGTTTGTTTACTTACAAAGAGTAGTGATTTCTCAAGAACTTCCATCCATTTGTTCTCAGAGCAAATAGAAAGTATTCAAGACATCCCTAAAGGTTTCAAATTTCTGTTGACTTAAAAGTATATTGAATTCATTCATTACTAAAGTCTTGGCAAAGCATGTTTTTCTCTTTTTTGTATTTCTTTTCATTTATTTCTTTCCCTCCTTGCTTACTTCCCCTCTACAACCTTCCTTCATTCCTTCTATATATGATGTTCTTCTATTTCTTTTTCATACCACTCTCTTCCCCTCATTGCTTCCAAGGAAAGGGGCGTAGCATCATGACCTTTCTAGGAAAAACCATATTCAAAGCTGAATTGGTTTAGAGTGCCTTATACTTTTTATTTTTGGCTGTACGTTAGAATAACCAGACATGTCTCAGTATAAACATTTCTTCCAAAGTGAGGTAAAAGTCCAACTTCACTATATATGGTCAATCTAAAAGTTAGGCCAGATAGTATACCATTATTTACTTTTTTTCTGGTGGAGAGAAAGTTCAGGAAGTTGTTTGATTATCTAGTGATTAAGGAATAAGATTTTTACCCACCCATTTAATCCTGACAAGTTTAATTGTATCTCCGCTGAGAGGACATTTCTTGACCTGTGACATATCTGAGTCAGTGGGGTCATGAATGACATGCAAATGAGATGGGGTTAATGGAATTTGTGTGGATTTCACAAAGAACCAGGTGCAGGAAAAGCCTTATAAATGGAAGCACTAAGGTGGTGCTTGAGAAATTGTATCTTCAAATTGCTTAGCTTTTCCTTTAAAGGGGGCCGGTCCATGCCATGCCCCTTCTTCCTTTCTTTTGAATGCTGGACATCTAGTGTGAACTTACATAAAAACCTGTCAGGATGGAAGTTTGTTCAAAGGAAAAGAGAGTAAGTAAAAAAGTGTGTTTGAAGAGTTTGAAGGTTCAGAAAAAGAGTGAGTGTGTGTGTGTGGGGGGGGGGTGGCTGTGAGCACATGTGCGTACCTCTATGTGGTACATGTGGATTTGCACACGCATGAGTGTGTGAGCCCTGAGGAGGCATTTGTGTGTGGATACGTACGCCTGCACGTGCACACAGGGCCCTGCGTGTGTGTCTGGCCTGTGCATAGCTGTGTGTGGCATGTTAGGGTGACTATAAGCAGTGTGTGTGTGTGTGTGTGTGTGTGTGTGTGCTGCAGGCAGGAGAAGCAGCTTTGACTCAGCCAGTGGCAGATCAGTTAGTACATAACTAATAGTGAGAAAGGAAGCTAGGGAGAGACGCAACCGACCTTATTAACAAAAGCTCAGTTTTGTCCCTGCGGACCCAACCAGCAGAAGGGACTGGACGAGCTGTGGCTCTCTGCCAGGGAGGTCGGCTCCCAGCAAACAGTCGCAGGCATCCTTTATCATGCCCTTCCCAGAGGGAGTCCTGAGGCTTGGCAATCGGTAAGTTTTCAGAGCGGCAGCAGCAGCAGCCTTGGAGAAGACCAGCAAAGAGAGTGGACTGTGTATGTGAACTTGATTCTATATTTTCTTGTGGGGAGGGTTAATGGATTTTTTGGTACAAAGAAAGCTAAAACTCAGCTGACCTGAAAGACTGGAATTTCAGCTCTCTTTCCTTCCCTGGGTTGTTTTTCCTCCCGCTTCCTCTCAAAGCCCTTTAAACCAGAGATTACTGGGTCAGTGACTCTTATCCCGCCCGCCCGGGCCAAGGGTTTCTAGCTTTTTTGGCTTGGAAAGGAAAACCACTACCTGTAAGTATCTGCTTTATGTACTTCCTCTCATCTTGACTGTGAATGTTCTGTTAGCACAATGCCCCAGAGGTTGTTTTTATGGTGGTAGCATTAATTCCAAAGAACGGTGCAAGAATCGTATGCAGAGTCAGCATGCAAAAGTTTAATTCTCTTGTAAACTCTGAAAGGGGCAGTGTGCCGTGTTGAAAAAACAAGCATATGAGAAAAATGGGATTTATTTTCTTATCACAAATGTATAAGTTTCTTCCGAATCTTGCCCAGCGGCACTCACCAGTAAAGTAACCAACTTTAAATTTTCTAGGCTCCCCCCACCCCGAAATCATGTTTCTCTTCAATTTAGTAGAATGGAAAAGGTACAAAAACTAACAAGATGTTATATTCTCCTGGCATACAGATACAGTAATTTGGACAAGACAATTTCTAGATCGTGGACTTCAGTTATATTTGGATGTATATTTTCAAAAGCTGTACTTGTGGACAGGAAAAAGTGCTAGAGGCAAAAAAATCATATTGTTCTGAAGTCTTGGACCGAAATTTAAGTTTTTTTGTTGTTGTTTATTACCCAGATTTGCTCCAAAAACTTTGGTGTTGCAGCAAATAGTTTCTTTTAGTTTTCATCTGGATCACAGAAGTAATTTCCAAGGCATTTAATTTTTGTTCCTGCTGTTTTTTGCTATTGCATTCAGTCTTGTTGCTTGGCGTGAATTACAAAGCTTAAAAAGAGCATTTCCGGCAACTGGTTGGAGTTTATGGCCTGGGAATCTTGCTGGAGAGATTAACCTTTTCAGGCCTGCTTTGTAAAACTGATACAGCCAATTCCCAGTTCCAGTTAGCATTTGAGGAATTGCTTCTTGATGTAGCCTGAGCCTTGAGCTAACCCAGGAAAATGTTAATTACCTTTGCTCTTTCTCTCCATTGTTTTTCAAAACTCTTTGTGCCCTGGGACCACCTGAGTGCTTCATGCAAGGCCTATGCTTAAGCATAGCACCCTCCCAGAAGATTTTAAATCTGGGGTGCCACCTGGAACTTACCCAGGTGATTCTGATGCCGATGATATAATACTTGAATAAGTGTTGCTCTACATTGTCTTTTGCCATTAAATTCCTCTCACGTCCTTGGTTAATATTAAATCTCACATCTCAAGAATAAACGGGTTTGAGTGGCATTGAACATAAATTGTGTGCAACAAGCTTTTGCATGATTGACTGACAAACCAGGACTTTTCAACTGGGAGAGTTGATGGCTTTCCCATCAACCTCATCCCCTCCCGCTTTCCTCTTCTGCCTTTTTATTTTTATGAGAAAATAATTAGTGAAGGTACCGGACATTATGTTCTTCTGCCCCCAGATTTTGGGCTGTAAGATCTAACTTGTTGCTGCATTGCCAAGTGATGTTTGTCTTTGAAACTTAAAACCTGAGGCTGTTCTTAATTCGGCATCAGTCTCCTGGGAACGCTCTGCTCTTGGGGACTGGCTAGGTTGAGTTGGCCTGAACTGAACTGGAATTCTTGGAACTCCTCAGGAACTGTCTCATTCCTAGAAGTTGAGTTTGGATTAATGAACCCAGAAGGATTGAGAGAAACAGGAAGTGATGGTTCTAGCTTGTTAAGGTACTCTTTTGACAACACATGAAAGTAAGAACTCAGTTCCATCCTCCTCCCAAAGACATCTTGTGGTATTGCATACTTATACTAAAAAGAAAAAAGGTGTGGTTATCAGCACCTCTTCCTTTTTTCCTTCTCCTCATTCCAATTATTGGGGTGGGGTGAGACGGGGAGGTGCTACATGCCAGGCTCACTGATAATTTCCCAAGGACTCCAAAACAACTGATGTGAAAGGTATGGAGAGGATCCCTGTCTTCAGGCTGCTTCAAATCTTAGCGTTTGTTGAGCAGCCTGGGCGAGCCATGTCGTCTTTCTGAGCTTCACGTCCTCTTTCATTAAAATGAAAAGTTTGACATAAAAGATTTTGGATATGTTTTCTGGCTTTGATGTTTTGACATAGGTCAATAGGCTTCAGTCTCCTAAACTCATATAACAGGCAGGGGAGCTTTATTAGTGTTTGTGCTGAAAACATGTCCAAGGATTTGACTAACAGCTGTTCTTCAAAATAAAAAAAATAATAATTAAATTTTGTTTCACAAGAACTAAAATCTCTGGCACAGAGGCCAAAGGCCACTTTTTCAGAGCACACATTGTTCACAATGGGATCCTGTTGGACCCTAGAGAGGCTGTTTCTCTGGGACGGGTTACATAGGATCACAGCCTTTAATCTTGTCTGAATCTGGTGCTGCTGCCCCTTTGGAGAGCTGGGTGGTCTGAACAGAAATGACTTCCTTACTTGCACAGCTTGCAACCTGACCCTTTCATTCAAGAGATTTAATAGCTTTTGTGCTACTAGGTGAGAGAGGCTCATTCAGGGACCTTTGAGGCACTGGGGGTGGGGGGAAAACAGCTCCCTAATGAAATCTTACATTTTGCCTGTGCAGTAGCTGCTCTTACTGCAGCGACTGGAGCAACATTTCAAAGGGCTCTAAAACTTGGCCATCAAGATAGGAAAATACAGCTGTGATCTATGTGTTTTCTTGACAAATGTAGCCTGCAGCTGTCTGAAGAAATTTTATTTGGGTAGGAAACTTCCTACTGAAGGACAGACTACAGAGATCTCAAAAAGTAAAGCTGTTTTGACAAAATATTCTTGGGCTTTCATTGGTAAGTTTAAAGGACCGGGGGAAATAATCTTCAGTTTTCCTCTTATCTCTGCCCTTTGTGGGGTTGCTGATATGATGTTAAAAACATTCCTTGTGTGCACCATGGAGAGGCTGCTAGGATTGTATATCATTCTTAACTTTATCCTCCTAACTTTCCTATCTAGCTTCCTTGGAGGTGGGGGCAGATAACAGTCCTTTCCTTGGGTGTTCCACCTCCCTGGGATCCTGTCTCTGCCTTCTGTCAAGTGTTATCTGTTGCTCCCTTCTTACAAATGTTCCCTGCATTCTTCCCTTAAAATAAATGAACAAGTGCTTGTCTCAGTGCTGTGGATATTTGTCCCAAGAGCTACATTTTTCATTAACACACACACACACACAGGCACACACAGTCCTTATTTGTAAATTTTAAGTCAAAACCATTTTGAAGTTACAAGAATTCCAGAAAGGATCAAAATGACCAGATGAACATCATCCAAATGAGTAGAAGCATGAAGCAGATTCTTGAGTTCAAAGATTAGCAACACAAGTAGGAGAGACTGGGAAGATGTGAAAATTCTGTCCTTATTTCTTCCTGACCATCCAGAACTGGATATTCTAATAGCTGCTTCAGATAAATATAAAGCAAGGAATCACTTTGCTTTTCTCAAGATTTTGTCCTTTTGTAGTAAGGAACACAGTCAGGGGACAGTGTTTGAAATTTTGAAACTCTGGGATTATACCATGCTCAGCTTATGGACCATCACCAACGGAAATACATAGCCAACCACAGATGTTTCTCCTCTTTATCTCTCTCTGTGTCTCTTTCTCCTGAAGTTTTCCCTGTAGACCAGTGTTTGCCTCAGTCACTCAGGTAGGGTTTCTTGAGCTTCCCTGTGCTAGCCCCAGTGAATAGGACTGGAGATGCTTAAGTGAGCAGGGCAGTCATGGCTGTTATCTTCAAGGAATTTATAGACAGACATGGAAAAATGACTATCAATAGATCAATAGTTTTAGTTATGCATTGCGTGCTTAGCTGTGTATTGCAGAAATCTGTAAGAGCAGATAAGACCGTTTTAGGAGATTGAGACAGTAATTCAGTCAGACAAGTTGGGGGTTCTAAAAAGGGCATTCATGGCAGGTGGAATGGCTTCGGCCTAACACATTAAGGATTGTCAGGGGAAGTAGCTAATTTAAGGAAGGAAAGAAATCCAGTGTGATCCCAGAAGGCACCTCTGAGACAAGGTTCCTTTCCAGTGCCTATCCCTCACTCTACCCATAACTGAACAATTCTGAAGGAAAGTTCTTTCTAAAAGTAAACTGAGATTCTACCCATTCTCCTATAGTTCTCTGTACTGGAACTATATAGTCATTTCTCCAAATATTTGAAGACAGCCTACTTTCTTCATAATTACTACCAAAGTTGGTCTGGTCTTTCCCGAACATATGCAATTGATTTTGGAAATGTAGCACACTGTGTTCGTTAAAAGCCAACTCACTGGCTTCAGTCCATCATCCCAGCCTGATTATGTCCTCAGTGATGAGGGTTAGCCCTCTTGGATTTGTGCTGTTGATGAATTGGATAAACTTGTCTTCTATGTCTTTGTTTAGGAATAGGAAACTTGTTTAACCAGAGGAAGGCAAAACAGAGCTACGGGACACCTTAAAATGCTTGTTTTAAGATAAATGGTGCCCCTAATCTCTTATATCCTTTTTTAAATTTAACATTGCATTGTAATGCTACTTAAGTTCCTTCTTAAACATGTTTTATTGAATAACTTGGTTTATAACATTATACAGGTTTCACATATGCAACAGTATTCTCTTATTTTCTCTTTTTTAAAGAGAAATCAATGGGTAAGACATATCTCTATAACTCAGGTTCGCAGAAATACCCAAATAGGGGTATCTGAAAAACATCAATAGATGTTGTTAGTATTTGTTCTGACTAGAATGCTAGAGGCACTGTTCAGCTGTACTTGATTATTTCATTTATTGATACATATGTTGAATGCACAGTCCATGCAACAGACCGTTTTGTCTTTCTGCCTTCAAAGTACATAGATAAATGACCATATCTTAGGTGAGATATGACAAATTACTTGTGGTGGTTTTAAATAAATTAGTCTCTTAAAATCGCAGGAAGGGAATACTTCCAAACAGAATGACTAGGTCTTAGGGCATGTTGCAGGGGAATTTCATGAGACATTAATATGTGATAAGAATTTTAATAAGGATGGTGGTAAAGACACTCCAGACAGACATGAGCAGGGGCATAGGGGGTAGGCATTATCCAGCAGGTCACTGAGTGTGAC